CCGACCCACACCCCACACCCACACCCACACCGATCGACACCCCACACCCACACCCACGTCCATCCACCCACACCACCCACACCCACACCTACCCACCCACACCCAGCTACACCCACATCCACCCACACCCACACCCTCCCACACCCACACCCTCCCACACCCGCACCCGCCCACCCACACCCACGCCACCCACACTCACACGCAGCCACACCCACTCCCACACCCAAATCGTGCTATTTTCAAAATATAATCATGTATCTAACCGAAAGAAAAAGCTTGTAAAAGCTTCGTATGTATAAATAACCGACAGAATATTTGAAGAAATATTTAGCAGTAAATCATAGTCTAAGACAGAAATATTCATTTTCACGAAAAGAATAAATTACTAGACAATATGTGGGAAGTACGCTCGATTCACGTAATTATACTATGTAACCTATAGAAACGCTCACTCGTATTGTTCTAAATCAATGCAGACGGAAGTTTGTGGAGAATGCGACGGTGCATCGTTTGAAAAAGGATTAACATTTTTTGATGCTCCTGAATACAAATACCTGCAAAAGAAAAAATATTACAAAAGTTTTGTCCTACTCGGTACTTACTTGCCGAGAATTTCTCTCTCACAGGAAAGTACTTTCGAATTGAACCAAATAATAAATTTATAAATACTTGTTTATTTATAACATAACTTAAACGAAAAATTACCTGAGATGAGACTAAGCCTACATACGTCGATCATCATAATCAAGTATTTTGTTAATACAATATCATATTCCTTTCATTGGTACTCTCATAGCAAGAAATCTTTCATCCAAATTTACGCGTAGGTCGCATTCAGTCTCTTGTTACTTTTTTTTTGTTTTTGAAACCAATTAGATCGTATCCTGCGATCTTATTTGAATTCCATTGTGAATCATTTTCATAGCCAAGTATAGCGTACCAAAGTCGTAATTTAATTTTTCTTTGTTTATTCTAGATTTGATTTTGTTAATCTTGATTGCACCCTAATTGAACATAGCTGGACAACACATGGCTAAAGTTCCGGATACAGGCACCCGTTCTCGCTTCACTGATGTTTACAGTGAACCTGTCGATCACCTTTTATCGCCGATAAAAGGGTATCAAAATAAACCACTTGTTTCACTAATGGAAGCAATTGAACCCGTATCGAGTTTTTTCGATGAAATCGAGGATAATGTCAAGGTAGCATTACATAATTGTCGAAATCCGGCTGATGGACTCACACAACAAGAGTCAGCCTCAATACATTTGTATACCATGCAATTTGATGATGGTCCAAATTTATATGAAGTTCTGAATGAATCGTTACGTGCCGAAAATCGTCAAGATCTAAAGCCGTGGTTTATGTATCTTAAATTATTTTTTACGGCACTCTACAAACTACCCTCGGAAAATCGAAGAATATGGCGCGGCATTCGAAAGGTGGATTTAAGTGGAAAATACAAAACGGGCACTGAATTTGCCTGGTGGGGCGTGAGCTCTTGTACAGCTGACATGCAAGTACTAGAATCAAGTCAATTCTTAGGAAAAGAAGGTCCACGAACATTATTTTCGATTGAATGCATCAATGGTAAATCAGTTGCAGCACATTCGTATTTCAAAAATGGGGAAAAAGAAATTATACTCATGCCCGGCTCGTACTTCCAAGTGATCGGCCAATTAAGTCCAGGCGGTGGACTACATATTATTGAATTGAAAGAACTTATACCACCGATGACACTCGTCAAACCACCATTTAGCAAATCGGATGAACAAGTGATTACATCAGTTGTACCAAAACCAAGTGCATCAGCTTCATCAACTGCATTCCAATCAACATTATCAGCCAGCTCGTCTTCAAAAAATGTATCGAAACGTAAGATCGGTTTTATATTTTGTTTTGCTTTTTCATTTTCATGAGATTCTGTCAGAAATTGCGGATAAATAACAGAGGATCGTGAGCAAAATTTGCACGTCTACGTTTGTTTATGTCACTCAACAGTTCTTGGTCTATAAGAGGCATCATCTTGACGATTTATTAACTTATTTGTTTTTTTTCTTCCTATTCTTCTGTAAATTTATGAGAAATATCGTTTTGTCAACAATATTGACTTCTTCAAACTATGTCAATAACAATCAAGTCCTGATTATAAAAAGCAACTTGATAAACATGATAAAAGATTGAAAAAATAAATCGAATTATATGGAGAAATGGCTTTGATTAATCTATTCTCATCAGAGCTGCCAACAGGCCACTTTTTGGAATCTGACCTGATCTACAGGCTAATCCAACCCATCTTATGACTCCTTTTGATTTTTTAAATGAAAAAAATATTGATTTCCTTACGTTTGCTGAAAAAAGTGAACCATTAATGTGACTTTATAAATGTCTGTAATAGAAATCTAAAACAAAGTGAAGATGAATTCTGAATGTCTATTGACAAAGTATCTGTTGGTATTTTGTTTTGAAAAGCAAATTAACTCAAAAACTAAACACGAAAAACTTGTTCAAGAAAAATAAAAACAATTTTACTGTTATTTGCGTTTTTCTCATGAAAAACTTCGTTGCCAAAATACCAAAACTAACAGAATCTTAGTTCTATCCGCAGATAATCCACAACAAGAGCAGGTAGACACTCGACTTTTAAATGATTTCGTGTAAATAAATGTACATAGCACTTCGTTTATCCTACAAGGTATCTTCAAGAACTCCGTTTTTCTCGAGAAAGCGCAAAACACAAGGCTTTTGGAAAATCATAAGTGCCTACGAAACGTTTTTCGCTTGGAGTAGTTAATAGTAAAAATGATAGGTCTTGTTTTCGTTTATTCATTTCAATACATTCCTTATCTTAAGTCAATAGATCGTTCACCAATCAAAGTAAAGAGCTTGTGTACAAAGCATCACTAACACGTTATCCGTTGTGTCTTTGAAATTCATTGCGGAAAAAATTTCTAATACAAGTTTTGCATTACATGGCACCTAGGTCGTCAGTTTAAACCTGGCCTAGCCCACAAGTAATGTTCATCGACATTCAATGTCGATTCACTTGGCCCTAGACTGACGAAATGATCACAAAGATGTCCTTATATTTTTAAATAAAAATGAACTCTGTATAGTGATGAGTTTAGGGGAAATTATTAATATTTGTAACATGTCTAATATTACATACTATCGATATATTCAAATAGTTCACATTAAATATTGACAGATGCTAATGCATATGATAGTTGATGCTTTAGTTAATTATAACGACCAAAAAATGGTGATTTATGCCCAAGTAACGACCATTTCTAATATGGACATGGCCAGTTGTGACACAGACATGCTCATTTGAGCGATAAGAATGGTCAACTGTGCTATAGAAATGGTTGATTGTGTCTTGAAAATGGTGAATTGCGCCACAGAAGTGGTCAATTGTATAATGAAAATGTCTAATTGTGTCAAATAAATAGTTGCCTGTACCACCAAAGTGGTATTTTTGTACCATGAAAACGGTCACTTGTGCTACCAAAATGGTCATTTCTACCAAGTGTTACAGACAGACAGACAGACACAGGTGAATTTCGGTTTCTAGACCCTATCCTTTCAGTCTAGGGAACAAGAAGGCCAGGCTAAAATTTCAAAATTCAGACAGACAGCTCTGATTTCTATAGATCGATCTGTGTCAAAATTTTCCATGTCTGAATGGTTTGCATGTTTGTAAAAATACTGTATTTGTGTTTTTCTTCTCTTATTTTTTTTTGCATCTATTTATTCTTTTATGTTAGAGAAAGACACTGTCACGTTGTATTATGGATCAGAATACAAGATAGGCTGTAAAGCTTGCCTGCCTGTGACAAACGCAAGTCAGACCACTAAAGTAGACACTCTGTCTGTCATGTTTTTTATTCACTTGAAATAAAAAAGTTTCATCTTTTGAACAGAAAATTTATTTTAAAAAAGTACAGTAACGTATATTCCATGTAGGAACATGACATGTGAATATTTTCTATATTTTCTACAGAGAATCAAGATTAGTAATCCGAAGCCACGAAATTATTCATCATTCGTTCTTTCAACTTAGATATGAATTCAACTCATTACTATTCCTTAGACAACATTTAGAGTATATTCGAATCAAAACTAATAAAAACGGAAAACAAACGAAAAAGTAAAATTTCAGTTAACTATTTGTGAGAAGCTGTAATAATAATGGTTTTCAAATCGATAAAAAAATTAAGTACAGTCGAAATTCATCAAAACAAACAGTCAGTTTAGTTTTATCTTCCTTTTTATTCTTTTTCACTATGAGCAATTTCTAGCTAACAGGATGTTTATGTACATACATATACAGTGAAACCTC